GCAAGAATCAAAGATTTTATAGCATACATATAGGATTTAGAGTCAAGAAGTACATATATATATAAGCCCTAACCTCAATGTAAGAGAATAGGAAGAAACCGCCACCTTGAATCCTTAGTTTTAAGTGAAGAAGATGAAGATTTGATCTTTCCCACTTGAATCAACACTTGAATCTCTTGTGTTTTCCCTTCTTTCTTCCTCTCTAAGGTTTCCTAGGGTTAGAAATATTGAACTGGGGCTAAAGGAGGTGTCTTTAAGTATTTATAGAGCAAAAAATAAACCATAGATCGCAACTTAAAATTTATGGGTTTTACAGAGCGTACCAGTACGGTCTGCTCGTTGGACAAGAGTGTATCGGTACGCTGTACCGGTACTGTCTGTCTATTTTTGTCCATTTCACTTGTTTTTTTATTTCAAATCTATTTCAAACCTTCCAAAACCAACCCAAAATTATATAACATACATTTGTACATCAAACATACTTGGTACAAGTCCTATTACAAAACATTTCATATACTTACTCGATTTTTACACTATTAACATTTTTTTTTTACAATTATAATCTATATGGTTCATTCCTATGCCATCACATATATTAAATTACTAAAAAATTTTATCATTATATTACTATAAACATGTGGGGATTTACAAGTTATGCATACAAACAGATTAATTCTCAAGTTCACATTTAAATCAGATTGGCTAACTCGTAATCTCCTAGTTAGAGCTCTTCATGTACTATGAATTACATGGTGGAACCAATGACATCTTAAATTAGACTTCCCAAGATTTTCAACCATAGGTTATTAGCTACAATTGTATTCCCAAGTGAAAATTTATCTCATTTTTCCTAGAAAAACACTAAAGTGGGTGCTAGTACAACAATCGCAGAATTTCAATCTACTTTCGAGGGCCACCAGTTTTCACACATATATAACACAACATTGTTATCACCAAACAATATTCTATATAGTCAATTATTAATAACAAATTACATTAACAATGGGCTATCTCTAACAACAAGATTTCATAACATAAGTGTAATGCTATCTCAATACCCTTAACCCACACAATCACATATCAATAATATGAAATAACATATTTGTAATACTAATCATAAAAAATATCTACACCATCACACATCAATAGCATTCAAATCATAAGCATGCTATTATTAAATAAACATAGATAGTATGCACACCTCAGGTCCAACTATATTACAGACTTAGTCCCCCAAATGTGACTTCAGGCACACTTGACGTTGGTGTCAACACCTCTGTTCCAACCACACATCATAATAAATTCCATATGAATATTTTTCGTGCATACATTATGTCGTAAATGTACAAGTATAAATGTTTAATCATGTTCAAGTTAACTCATTACCAATCCACACCCCTGTGGTATAACTTAAGTTAATACCTTAGATTAGGTTATGCAAACAAACAGATTAATTCTCAAGTTCACATTTAAATCAGATTGGCTGACCCGTAATCTCTTAGTTAAAGTTCTTCATATACTTTGAATTACATGGTGGAACCAATGACAACTTATATTAGACTTCCTAAGATTTTCAAATATAGATCATTAGCTACAATTGGATTCCCATGTGAAAATTATCTCATTTTTCCTTAAAAACACCTCTAAAGTGGCTGCCTATTCAACAGCCGTGGAATTTCAATCCACTTTCGAGGGCCACTAGTTTTCACACAAATATAACACAACATTGTCATCACCAGGCAATATTCTATACAATCATTTATCATTAACAAATGACATTAACTTTAGGCTATCTCTAATAGCAAGACTACATAACATAAGTGTAATGCTATCTGAATACCCTTAACTCACACATTCACATATGAATAATATGAAATAACATATTCATAATGCTAATCATAAAAAATTTCTGCACCATCACACATCAAGTACGTTCAATCATAATCATGCTATTCCCAAACAAACACAGATAGTACGCCCACCTCAGGTCCAACTGTATTATAGACTTAGGCCCTAAATGTGACTTTAGGCACACTTGACGCTGGTGTCAACACCTCTATCCATACCACACATCATAATAAATTCCATATGAATATTTTTCGTGCATACATTATGTCATAAATGCACAAGTATAAATGTTTAATCATGTTCAAGTTAACTCATTACCAATCCTTTACCACTGTGATATAACTTAAGTTAATACCTTAGATTAGGTTTTGCATACAAACAAATTAATTCTCAAGTTCTCATTTAAAACAGATTGGCTAACCCATAATCTCCTAGTTAGCGCTCTTCATGTACTTTGAATTAATGGTGGAATCAATGACATCTTAAGTTAGACTTCCCAAGATTTTCAACCATAGGTCATTAGCTACAACTTGATTCCCATGTGAAAATTTATCTCATTTTTCCTAGAAAAACTATAAAGTGGGTGCCTGTTCAACAGTCACAGAATTTCAATCCACTTTCTAGGGCCACAAGTTTTCACACAAATATAACACAACATTGTCATCACCGGACAATATTCTATACAATCATTTATCATTAACAAATGACATTAACTTTGGGCTATCTCTAATAGCAAGATTGCATAAATTAAGTGTAATGCTATCTCAATACCCTTAACCCAGACAATCACATATCAATAATATGAAATAACATATTTGTAATACTAATCATAAAAAATATCTACAGCATCACACATCAATAGCATTCAAATCCTAATCATGCTATTACCAAATAAACACAGATAGTACGCACACCTCAGGTCCAACTGTATTACAGACTTAGTTCCTAAATGTGACTTTAGGCACACTTGACGTTGGCGTCAACACCTCTGTTCCAACCACACATCATAATAAATTCCATATGAATATTTTTCGTGCATACATTATGTCAGAAATGTACAAGTATAAATGTTTAATCATGTTCAAGTTAACTCATTACCAATCCCCACCCCTGTGGTATAACTTAAGTTAATACCTTAGATTAGGTTATGCAAACAAATAGATTAATTCTCAAGTTCACATTTAAATCAGATTGGTTGACCCGTAATCTCTTAGTTAAAGTTCTTCATATACTTTGAATTACATGGTGGAACCAATGACAACTTATATTAGACTTCCCAAGATTTTCAACAATAGGTCATTAGGTACAATTGGATTCCCATGTGAAAATTTATCTCACTTTTCCTTAAAAAGACCTCTAAAGTGGCTACCTGTTCAACAGGCGCGAAATTTCAATCCACTTTCGAGGGCCACCAATTTTCACACAAATATAACACAACATTGTCTTCACCATGCAATATTCTATACAATCATTTGTCATTAACAAATGACATTAACTTTGGGCTATCTCTAATAGCAAGACTACATAACATAAGTGTAATGTTATCTCAATACCCTTAACTCACACATTCACATATGAATAATATGAAATAACATATTCATAATGCTAATCATAAAAAATTTCTGCACCATCACACATCAAGTACGTTCAATCATAATCATGCTATTCCCAAACAAACTCTGGTAGTACGCCCACCTCAGGTCCAACTGTATTATAGACTTAGGCCCTTAATGTGGCTTTAGGCACACTTGACATTGGTGTCAACACCTCTATTCATACCACACATCATAATAAATTCCATATGAATATTTTTCGTGCATATATTATGTCATAAATGCACAAGTACAAATGCTTAATCATGTTCAAGTTTAACTCATTGCCAATCCTTCACCCCTGTGATATGACTAGGTTTACTATCGTATATGATGCAAAAGAACTAAGATTGTAGGTTTCAACAAAAAAATAGTGCATCAATCAAAATTTCCTAAAAAAAGTTAATGTGATTCTCCCACGGACACTCAAGCTACTCCTATTGCTTGTGTTGGTACAAGCTATACCTATTCATTGATGTACCGATTCATCATTGTTGTACCACTTAATGGCAAGGCAGAGTGCCTTGTACTGTTTCAACCCCTTTTGTACTAGTTTTTTTTTTAACCGAGGATTTCTTCTTCATTCCCTCTTCCTCCTCAACCACAATTTCTCAACCTTAAAAACTCTAAACCATTACTCACACTACTATTGTGTATTTAAAAGCTCTAAAAATATTAACTCAAGGAATCCAATTACCTTCGTTGCGAGCTTTGTCACCAAAATCCACCGAACCTCTGAATGTGATGAACTTAGAGTTCTTTGGCTCTTCAATCCTCCACACAACTCAACTACTTAGAACAAATCAAGGATTATGAGAAAGTATAAGAAGGACCAAATTTATTTTAACTCAAAGAAATGAGGATATCTCTCAATCAAACATCTGTTTGACATCGGAAACTAAGCTTTTCAAAAACCCACACACAAGGCTCTTTCCAATCTTATGAACAGGTTCTTCCTTTTTATACAATCAAAAACTTCAATTGAATGTTCTGCGCATGCCATTTTCCTCCTAAGTCATCCCTCATCCTGCAATTACACCTTACTCCCTCCCTTAATTCTCCTATTTTCGCAATTATCACGTAAATTTCTTGTCCCACATTAAATTATATCCAATACACTTGCCAACTATTAATTCCTCCTTCAAACATTTAAATAAAGCTCTTACTTTATTTTTCCTCAGTTTCAATAATTGAAATATATCCCATGACTTATATAATAAAATTACACTTAAATCCCCAATATTTTTTGAAGTACCTTGTGATGGGGTTTTGGGTCTCACAACTTGGACTCGAAAGACCTGTCCAAAAGCTTGGAATGATTCTGAACTTGATTATTAAATGTTTTTTATTGGTTGGCTAGATGCATGAAACTTTTTATCCAAGACTTCCCTACTATGAATGCAATGTGCTTTATAGTAACCATGCTCTCCACAAGTAAAACACACAAATGATTTGGTTTTAATTTGCTTTTTAACCTGCTTCTTTTCATGCTTCCTCGTACCATTCTTAGTCTTTTTTTGGGACTTGTCCTTACTTATGGGGTTGATGAGTTATAATTACCCTTCACAAAAATAGTCTTGGATATAGTGGGTGTGGTGTTCTCATTGGTATAGCCTAGGCCTTTCTTGTCACCCATACTTTTCCCTATACCAAAAATTTTATAAAGTTTCTCCATACTTTGAAAAATTCTTTTTGAGAGGTCTTGTGATTCATGAAGGTCTCTATCAAGTTTGATAAGTTTAAACTCAAGACCTTTCTTAGACTCTATAATCCCTTTATGCTCTCTCTCAAGGAAGCTCACCTTCTTATGGAGGGACTTCTCCTCCTCATGCCTAACAATGTGAGCCTTGGACTTCACTAAGTCCACATGAATCACTTTCTTCTCATCTTCACTCGCTTTGAGCCTCGTGCTCAATGAAAGTAACTTCTCAGTTTGTTTTACACACTCCTTATACAATTGATTATAAGCATCTTGGAGGTTTTCAACACTTTTGCTCTTATCCTCACTTTGTAGAGAGTTCAACTTCTAAGTCGTCTACAGTCATGGTAGGACTCAACTCAACTTCCTCTTCTTCATCCTTTGAATTTTCTCATGGGGGGTGGGGGAGGGGAGAGGCATGTGAACCTATGAAGGCTGTGAAGTTCTCTAAATCACTTTGAGAAGAGGAATCAACACTCGTTGTGGACTCATTTTCACTCTCACTCACTTTATTCTTCCAGGCTCTCCTCCGATCCTTGGGCATGTCCTTTTTCTTAGCATTTGGACATTCAATAGCTATGTGTCCAAACCCATGACAATCATAGCTTTGGAGACCTTGCCATTTCTTCACAACCTCATGTGGAGAAGTCCTTCCCCTACTCTATTTTCCCTTTTTAGGATACTTAGGTCTACTTGGGTTTCGTTTTGATTTTGAGGACTTGACACCACTATCCTTATAATAGTTTTTTAATTTTTGAGCAAGATAGGCTATGCCCTCTTCTTATAAATGGGGTGACTTAGATTTACCCCCTTCTTCAAATTTCAAATTTAACGCAATACCCTTCAATTTCTTGGGTGGAAAAAGGTTCATCTTGAAAGTCAAAATTGACCGAACTTGGTCTTCAATTGACATCGAAGCCATATTGACACTTGTCTCTAACAAGGTCACCTTCGGATGAAATCTATCATGTAGAGATCTCAAGATTTTCCACCTAATAACAGCATCGTCAATTTTGGTGCCTAATGGAAAGGAAGAGTTGATAATATCGCATAGTTTAGCATAAAAGTCACTAAATGTTTCTTCTTTTGCATCGTCAAAGTCTCGAACTAAGAGATATACCTTTGGGGACAAGACGTCTTGACCATTATAGTTCTTTCATGAGAGACCACAAGAATATCCCATGCCTCCTTCGCAATTTGCAATTCTTAGGAACTTGTTTGGTGTCATGACATTGAATATTGCATTCAAGCCTTTTGAGTTCCACCCCACTTGTTTGATCTCAATTTTAAACCAATTCTTCAGGGATTTTATTTCAAACAATTCTTCACCACCCACACAAGAGTTTGGTTAAGCGTCTTGCACAGTTAACCAAAATCTCTCATTGATAGATTTAGGAAATGCTCTCATGCAAGCTTTCCAATATGCAAAATTAGACTCGTCGAAGAGTGGTGGTCATTCAATTGAATCTTCTTCTTTTTGAGAATCCATTCGATACTAACTCATAGTAATAGATCTCAAGAAGAAAAACACTTAAGTGTGTCTACACTCTGATACCAATTATTTTTTTGAGAGGGGGAGAAAAAAGTGGATATTGAATCACAATTCTACACGTGGAGTGCACAACACAATCTAGGGGGTAAATTGGTTTTTCAAATTTAACCATAATCGATTACAAATTAAAATCTAATCTACCTCAATTACCTTTTCACACAATGATGTAGTAATTTAGTGTGAGAATCCCTTTTAATCACTACGACCCATCAAGACCATGAAGATTGATGTGGATTAATTGCTCAATTAATTTGCTTAAACACTCAATCTCACAATGACCCCAAAACCCAAATGCAACTAAGGATGAATATATGTCAATCAATCATTTAGACAAACACATAGTGCATGTGTGTGCAAACAATCACAAGGTTATAAGATTAGCCAATTACAAAAATATATTTAACAATTTGGTTTGCCTTTTGGACCATTGATTACTCATATATGCAAAGGAAGAGAGCTACAGTTTTGCCCAGGGATCAGAAGCAGAATGCCAAGAGGCCTTGAACAAGTGTTACATGAAGTAGAGGAAGGCCTAGGCTGCATATGTTGTAGTAGTAGAGGAGAAAGGAGAGGAAATGTAGGATCCACAAGTAGATATTGGACATCGTGCATCACCACCAGTTCATGCCCATGCAACTACATCTAAAGCACTACTATCCGAATTTGGTTTGGACATCTTTGTTGCCCAACTAGCTTAATTGGTTGACATGCTTACTAGGGTCGCATGTACTATGGAGGAGCATCACTGCCTTAATTCACAGAGGTTAGATGTTATGGATGGATTAATTGTGAGCCTAGATCCTTTTTAGTAGTTAGCTTTTGGGTTGATTGCACATAGAGTAGCGAGACTTCAGTGGTTGATAAAGGAGAAATAGGTTGAAGGTGATCTAGTGTTGGATTACAGTGACAACACAATCCTACCTTAACCCTAATGTGATGGTGGAGGTGGTACGGCCACAGGAGCCACTTAGGAGACTTTTATATTTGAGTTTTATGAGAGTTATTCATTCACGACATGTACTTAAGGTACCCTAATTTTTTATTGTTGACTTTTCCTTTTTATTGACTCTTGCACTTATGTTTTATTTTCTTTTGTTGTGACATACTCTTAGTCATGTGCTATTTGATGCTTTATTTTTTGAGACTTTGAGTTTAGGGTAATGTTTGTTTTTGCTTTACTTACATGCCTATTCTTTCTAGTTGGTTTATATTCATATCTTCTTGTTATACAATGATTCTATGTTGTGGTTGTTATGATAAGTCATTGGATTGACACTTTGTGAAAAATACATAAAGTCATTTATTGGCTGATGAGTGCGTCATATTGCATATTTAATGGCCTTACATGCATTTTAACTTAACTTTGTATTTAATTACTTAGAGTTACTCGAATTTATGAATAATGTTAAAATTTTGATGTTGCAGGTAATCATATGGTAAATGATGACTTTTGAAACCTTGCAATTAAGTGTGGATGAGTGGTGAAGAGATTGACACATTACATGACGATTAGGAGGCTTTAAAGTGGAAGAAATGATGGAGGTAATGGTACTTTGTATCATAGGTACCGGTGTCTAAGCCTACTAGAATGTTGGTATCTGCACCTGCATCATTTGGTATTAGTACCTCAGTTTTACCAATATTTGACCATGATCCACTTTAAATCTAAAAAAATTCAGATCTGGATGTTCTCTATCTTGTGTCAAAATTTCATCTTAATCAGACAGTGAGATCAAAAGTTATGACAAATTTACTAAAGATGTTCCTGAGCTAGCACCCCCATTATGACCTACCAATAGAAGGAAACCAAAACCTACCGGTAGGTTTTGCCTATTGGACAAAAACCTATCGGTAGGTTTTGTCATCAACTTACTGATAGATTTTACCTAAAAACACCAGAAAGCTGTAATCTCTTCTCCACCTGCTCTGTGGGCTTACCTCTACTTCTCCCACATATACCTTGACATAATCTACATACAAGTATGCCTCCCTACACCTAGAATCTAACTTTGGAAGAAAGAGCATGGAAATGGAAGAAAGAGAAAGACGGAGGCATGGTGGGTTACAGGCATGGCCTGTCCTTGCTTGTGTAAGTGTCCAACCCCTTCCCCATGCTTGGATGTCAGCTCTCACAAACCATGAAGGGGGTATGGATGAATTTGGATCAAGTCTTACAATATAATTCAGTTTTTACAAGCTTTTGAGAAGAGAGACTACCTAAGCTTAAGAGTAGTATAGAGAGAGAAGCTTTAGGAAGAAGATGAAGTTAGAGAGAGAAAGTTGGGTTTTCATATTTCTTTACCATTTTTAGTATTGTAAGCTTTAATCTACTTGTAATCTTTCCCTTTTTCACTTTTAAACTCTTTTATTTCAAGTTGTATGCAAGTTTAGCTAAGCAATTGTAGCATTTCAAGTTATACATTTGGGTATTTGCTTTCAATATTTCTATTTTGGTCATGAATGATATTTCACTTGTAGTTTAACTCTTTTCTTTCATTAATACAAGTTCCATGCTCCATTTCTCTACCATATCACTTTGTGTTGGGCTTTCCTTTTATTATGAGTAGCTAGATTTTTAGTTGGCTAATCCAAGGGAGATTTCCTCTTGGGTATGCTAAATCAACTCTCCTCCATTCTTCCTCATTATTTAAAGTGCTTGGTTTGACTAGGTTGAGTGCGGATGTGGATGTGAGCTTTTGATACACCGTAGACTTGTCACAGGTTATGCTTGAGTCTACACCTCCACATTTGTCCCTCACTTCCTATGAATCAATCAAGTATTGAGACACCATTGGTAGAATGTTTTGAGTTGATTTAGCATTCCTATTGGAATGACCTCTTCGGATTAGCCAACCTTGTTTTCATTGGACTTTTATCAAAAACTCCACTCACCAAAACATAAAATGACAAGATTTTACACTTTTCATTTCTTTACAAAATCACCTTCACCATAATTTGACCTTCCTTGCCTGAGGAGACTACCTTGGAATACCCATTCCAAAGTAGAATACCCATAATTGCAAGTCTCTCTTCGCCTGGGGAGAACTTTTGTGCACACACACATTTTCATTCACACACACGTTTTCCCCATTTCTAGCATTGAACTCAAGGGAGAATGACACACACCTACACACATAAGCCATATACACATTTGAGGGTTCATGTTTGGAGATTAGGATGAATGCAATCAAGTATTGGCCATGCAGGTTTTTATTGCCATTTCATTAAGGATTTTAGTGCATTGACGAGACCTTTGATGAATTTGTTAGCAAAGGATGTCCCATCCGTGTGGTTAGATGATTGTGAGACATCTTTTAAAAAACTTAAAAGTATGCTTACCTCACCTCCAATCATGCGACCACCCAAGTGGGAATTCCCATTTGAGCTCATGTGCGATGCAAGTGATTACGTGGTTGGCATAGTGCTAGGTCAAAGGAAATATATAAGGCCGTGTGCAATATAATATGCTAGTAAAACTCTAAATGAAGCACAAATGAGTTACACCACTTCTACAAAAGAGCTACTAGCCTTAGTGTTTGCATTGGATAAATTCAGGTCATACATCATTGGTTCACTTATTGTAGTCAACACTGATCACTTTGCTTTGAAGTATTTGTTGTCTAAGTAGGATGTTAAATCGAGACTCATTAGGTGGGTACTACTCTTTCAAGAATTTAACCTAATCATCAAGGAAAAA